TGCTCGACCACGTTGAGTGGACTTCTGCACGTAAGCTCCGATGCGGGCATCGGGTCTGCTGCTCCGGTCACTATGAGTTCTTGGATGGCGGTACGTGTGAACGTGGCATGCGTGTTCACCCCGACATGGTTGCGATCGTGGAAGGGCTGTGGTGGAGGCTCCATGGCAGCCAGTAGCCCTTGGCGATAAAGGAGAGGACAAGGCTGCAGGGGCACCATGAACTCCACCACGCAAAGGTCGCACGAAGCCGACCTCGCATCTGTGTAATAGTTTTGTCCGTCATTGCGAATTCATACGGATCGTCGTAGCATACCACCTCGCACCGTCGTGCTCCTGTATAGTGGAGGCAAAATGGGGTGATCGTTGGGTGTTTCATTTCAAAGCATCCGTGTGCATGTACGAGCAACCATTTGTCAAGATGTGAACAACATCGACAATCTATCGAAATGTCAACGAGTATGTCGGGTACGCGCCGGCGCTTCTTGTTTCTCTCCTAGCAAAAACCTCCTCTTTTTTTTTTTTTTTTTTTTTTTTTTTTTTTTTGTAACGCACAGTGGGTTGCCTGCTTGTCACTCCCTGGTTTTTTTTTTTTTTTTTTTTTTCCTTCCCATATAACTCCTTGGTGTCAAAATCCCAGTCACTAGACCACTGGGATAAAAGGGCTTGTTTGTGTAGCGGGTTTGTGCGCCCATAACCCCCTAGGTGAACGCGCCTGTAACCCCCCTAGGATCAATCGGGCATCCACAGTGCAGATCTACTGACACCCCCCCACACTGGGAGGCCCAGGACTGAGCACAGCGGCAACGGCCTACATGTGCATACACCGGGATTCGAACCCGAGACCGTTCTGATACCATGTCAGAACCCCAACCACTAAACAAGGGATAAAATGGCTTGTTTGTGTAGCGGATTTGTGCGCCCATAACCCCCCAGGCGAACGTGCCTGTAACCCCTCTAGGATCAATCGGGCATCCACAGTGCAGATCTACTGACTCTAAGCTTGCCTTCTCGTCCCAATCGATAGGACCTGCCCTTCGAGCATGGAGGTTGATGCCTAGGAGCATGGACACACTTGTCCATCGTGCTTGATCTCGTTATCTCTCTCTCTCTCTCCCTCTCTCTCTCTCTCTCTCACACACACACACACATACACACACATTATTTCCCTTGTTCTTTAGTTCATGAAGGCTGATGCTTGGGACCATGGACATGCTTGTCCACCGTGTTATATCTCGTTCTCTCTCACTCTTTCTTTTTCTCTCTCTCTCTCTCACTCACTCACTCTCTCTCTCTCTAATGGTCCGTGCATTGATGTAAGAGGAGGTACAGACATGCAAGGTATAGGTGCTAGGAATGCAAACGAACAAGCAGAGAAACTGTCTAGCTGCCCACAGCTGCCTATCTACACTTCCATGAGAGGATCTAGTACTGCACAACAGTCCCCAAGGTGGAGCTCGGACTGCACCCCCCCCACGGGGGGATTTTCAGCTACTGCCGCCTGACTCGACTTAATAAGGTAGCCCACTTACTGTGCTCTTTACAGAGCCACGGACCACCGCTGTCTGAAGAGATGGAGGAACCTGTCAGAGGTCCACTGGTGATCCCCGATTGATCCTAGGGAAGGGTTACAGGCTCGTTGTCCTGGGGGGTTGTGGGCGCACTGACCCGCTACTTAACAAGCCCTTTTATCCCAGTGGTCTAGTGACTGGGATTCTGACATGGTATCAGAGCGGTCTTGAGTTCGAATCCCAGTGTGTGCACTTCGGGCATCCCAGTGCGGGAGGGTGTCAGAGCTCCACTGGTGATCCCCGATTGATCCTAGGGAAGGGTTACAGGCTCGTTGTCCTGGGGGGTTGTGGGCGCACTGACCCGCTACTTAACAAGCCCTTTTATCCCAATGGTCTAGTGGTTGGGATTCTGACAGAACCTAGCTGCATGAAAAGAGTGTGGTCGGGCGTTGAAGTGACGCCTAGCAGCTGTGTCCGCCAATAGCTTCAAGAATTCTGGGACCTCTGCACACGGGCACCCATAGGTATCCACAGCCAGTGGGAAAAAGGCCACCGTGTCCGGCCAGTTGGCATAGTGTCTCTTCTTCTTGTCTGCCATCTCCCTTGCCGCCCATCCTCTTCCCTTGGTTGCATTCGGGTCTCTGGTGCTGACGGGGTCGGTGATGGTGACGTCACAAATGTACACCGCCCCTGAGCTCCTGTCTCGCATAGTGATATCCGCGGTCTGGTCCTCGATTGGGCAGTAGGCGGCCGATTCCCCGCAGCGGAAAAGATGGTTCGGCAGCCGTGGGTCGGTGATCTCTGTGTGGTCCGAGCAGTCGCACTTGGCGGGCGTGGAGAAAGGTAGGCCAAGGCGAAAGCGGACGGCATTGGCGAAGTGCTCTGGCGCGACGCGGCGGGTGTTTTCAATCGGTAAAGCCGCCAGCCAGTCTCTTGTGCCATAGCCGGTAAGGGAGAACATGCGCTAAATGTGCCCTGATAGCGGGTTGAGACTCATCCGCTGGGTCTCCTGTACTTGCCTCGCATATCTCCTCCTGTGGACCTTCACTGCGAGGGCGTGTTGCAGCTTCACGCCCTTAGGTTCTAATCTCTCCGCTTCTAGGATCTCACGGGCGTCTGCCGGCAGAGCCCTCTCACAGGCCGACAGCCACGCGTGAAGGGGTGTGCTAGTGTCTCGTGGTAGTAGCATGAAATTCTTGGCGTGTGTCTGGATGTCGTCCTGTTCTAAGGGGAGCGAGCAGAGGAGTAGGGCTGCCTGTGTGAAGCTTGCTAGGAATCCATATACTCCTTCGACTGTGGGGTCAGTGAGGCCGATCCCACCTAGGGAGGGGGGTAGTGTGGACTGTTCCCAGACCCGGTTTTGCTCAGTAGTACTTGTTGGATAGCGGATACAGCATGAGGCTAAAAGGGTAGCAAGTAGGTCCCGTCCCCACTGCGACCATTTGCCGTCGGGGAGAAAATTGAGCGGTGTGGTCCGCGTAAGGTAGGCGATGCGGCGAGATATGCAGCACGTGAGGAGCAGTGAGGAGGTCTGTGGGTCCATCCGTTCTAGCCGTGGTAGTTGTTTCGCCATTGCCGTGAGTTGTTCCGTAATGAAAGAGGCAGCACCTTCCGTCGTTCCTATGAAGCTGCCTAAGAGCCGGACGCCATCACCGGAAAAGGGAACTCCTAGTGGTAGTTGCACCGAGCTGGCTGGGCGGGTTTGACTCCATGCGGCACACTTTCCGGGATTGTGTCGAAGGCCTACTAGCTCTAGCTGTCCGGTAAAATGGGCGAAGGCTTCGGTTGTCTCGGCGGCGGCACCTAGGAACGTGACATCGTCGGCATAGGCTAGGCAGAGTACGCGGGGGTAGGCGTCGGCAGTCGCACGTAGGGCTGGGTGTATTCCTGCCGCGAAAAGCAGAGGGCCTAAGGGGTCTCCCTGACGGACGCCTCGTTCGCTTGCTAAGGGTGCGCTGTTAAAGCCGGCATCGAGGTAGAGTAGCGACGGGTTGCCGTATGTGAGTCGGACCAGCGGCAGTAATGGTTGTCAAGCCTCGTCCTGTAAAGCTGCCACTATTGCCTGTCGCGAGATACTGTTGAAAGCGTTTGATAGGTCGGTTTGAAGTGTCAGTGTGTCTGGTCGGGCGTCGATGAAAGCCCGTACGGTATGGATGATCGCCTCTGCTCCACTTGGAACCGCCACCCCGAATTGCAGCAGGAGGAAAAACTCCCGTGCTGCTTCTCCTATTACTGACAAGGCGGCCTTTGCTGCCAGGCGGGTCAAACATTCGCCTATTGCAATTGGCCGGGCCCCGCCTTCTGGCTTGGCCAACACAATTAGGCGGGATGACGTGAGCAGGTCTGCTACAGGCTGGGGCAGTTTACCCCCCAGCATGGTGTTAACCAAGGCGTGAAGGTGGGTGCAAACCGATGCGTTTGTGATTGCCGCATCGCGCAGGTGCTCAAACGTGGTGCCAGATGGCCCTGCACCCACCCCGTTCTCGCATCGGCTCAGTAGCTTGTGGAAGTCAACGTATGGGATTGAGAGGCGTCGGGGGTCATCGTGTCGGGGCCACGTCAGCGGCTCGGGTCCCGCTTGTGGGTGTTTCTGTCGAAGTTCATCCAAAATCCCGGGACTGGGCGTGCAGACCGGGGTTGACTCCAGTGCCAACACCGCTCTGCGTAGACTCCCGCGCTTCGCCAGTCCCTCTGCTCTGCTGATGACACCTGTGTCATCGGGTTGGTGTCGTGGCGGGGCTAGGTTATTGAATGCTTCGGTTGCTTCAGTGTACAGCTGATCCCATTCGCCACGTTGGAACGAACGGAGTCGCGCTTTGATTTTCGGCCAATCTGGGCGTTTTGGCGAAGTCTGACGGAGAGTGAGACGCGGGAGAAAAAGGAGCAGGCGCCAGCCTACGATGGAGCCCGGGTTACGTGATAGATGTAGGAGTGGTGTCAGCAGGCATAGCGAAAAAAGCTGACACAGATTTGGCGGCAATCTACGGGCTAGCGAGGGTTGGCGACTATCGCAGAGCGGGGCAATATCCCAGTTCGCGAGTGATGCGAACCGGTCGCTGTGTGTCGCCAGCTCCTCTGGCGAGTAGTAGCGCTGATGTGGGACCACGGGCGCCACGCCGGTCTGGCGTCTCGCGGTCCGATTTGTGCGGCTGCGGCTCGGGGAGGGGGCTGGAGATTGAATTGGAATTCTGGCCGTACGATTGCCATCGTGCGGCTCACCCGCAGCTCGATGAGATTCCTCTGCACTCCGCTGTTCCGTTCGACTTCTGCTCGCTGCCTCTTCCCTTTCCCGAGTTCCATCTTCCTCTTCACTGGTACTACCAAGGACATCTGTCTCCTCCCTATAAGAGGGGTCGCTGCGCTACTCCTGGTCGATATCTTTGATTATCCTTCTTAAAGCCTGTCGTCCTGCCACCTGGAAAGCGTTCTCTGGTCCGCCCCCCACACGCCTCGCTGCTCCTCCCCCGCGACCTCTACCCCATCCACTCCGCAATGGTGATCGAAGGCTGGCTTGAGCCAGAGCGCGTTGTCGTTGCGTCTGCTGGTTCCGGTAGGTCGCCGGCAGTGTCTGGCTCGGTGACTGTCTCGAAGAAGCCGCCACTGCCGTCTGCACCGAAACCGCCTCCCTCCGTGCTGGAGCCCCCGAGTCCGCCGACGCCGGCTCCACCTGCCACAGAGCCTCATCCTCCCGCTGCGGCTGCTCCTCACGCGCGCGCTCCTGCGGGGCCTGTTCCCGTTGCCCCTGTTGCTCCTGTTGCTCCCGTTGAGTCTCCAGTTCCCGTTGTCGTCGTTGATGCCCCCCCGGGCGCCCCGATCCTCGATGCGCCGCATGTCTCTGTCACCCTGCCTGCCCCGGTTGCTGCTGTTGGTTTGTCACCACACGCGGTGTCCGCCACCACTGGCGGCCCGGGGCCGGGGGAGGTGGGGGGGGGCGTTGCGCTGTCGGCTCCCGTCCTACCGACTGCGGCGACATCGGTGCCGCTCCCGGACGTCCAGGCGGTTCCTGATCCCGCGCCGCTCGCCGCTGCTCCCTTGGCTCAGCGTCAGCCATCTCCGGGCCGTCGGCAGCATCGGCCTCACTCTCCTTCGGCCCGGGACGAGCGAGAGACGACGCGGCGGCGACACGATTCTCCTCGGCGCCGAGGGTCCCAGGCGAACTGGGCCGCATCCCGTGGCGGTCGCGGTGGCTGGTGGGGGGGGGGCGCAGTCGTGGTGGTGGCTGGGCGTATGATCAGCCAGTAATGATGGCTGATTTACAGCGTGTTGTCTCTGATGCGATGCGACTGGAGCGAAACGGGCAGGCGAGCCAGAGCAACTCGCCGCGCGTCACTCCAGCGCATGCGTCCCGTCCTCCGTCTGAGCCTGCACCTCCCCTTTCACAGTCAGCCGTTCCCCCTCCCCCAGCTCCCTCTGCATCTGCCGCTGCTCATGGGAACCGGATGCGCCTGCCGTGGGTTCCTCCTGTGGCGGGTATGGAGTTCGTGACCACGGCTGGAGGACTGGTGACGGCGCAGTATCCCTCTCTACTGCCTGTTGCTCCTGCTCCTCCGGCTGTATCGGTGCCAGTATAGTCACTGGTGGGGCCCCTTCCGTCAGCCGTTGTGCCGGAGGCGTCGCTGGGGCAGCTATGGCGCCTCTCTGAGGGTCTGCGGGCAGTGCACTTGATTCAGGTGTATGGTCACGCGGCTCTCTCCCAGGGTGTTCATCTGGACCCTGGCCCCCGGGACGAGTGCCTGGATGCCGCGGATCGGCTGGCCGAGCTCATGGCGCCCGTGTTGGCTGCGCCCGCGCGGGGTGGAGTTGCGGGCGTTGGACAGCTGGGGACGGCGGTCCGTGGTTTGCGCCGGTTTCTGCGCGCGGGCTCTGCCGTCGACTTGATCGGCGCAACGACAGTGGTGGTGCGCGAGCTTCATCGGTCTCTGACGGGTCTTCTTGCTGTCCTTGACGCGGATCAGATGTAGGATCCCCTCGTGCTTGTCCCATGTTGTTGCTAGTAGATGGGACCCCCTGCCATGACTGTACGCCTGTGCGTTATTATTGCATCTGCCTGTGATGTGCTTGCCGTTCCCTTATGCGCGGCCGAAGGCCGCGTTGTCGAGCGTCGGCCGCCGAAGGCACCCGGCGCGAGCCGCTCGGTTAGGAGAGCAAATGAACACAGAACTGAATAATGAGGCTCTAGGACAAGGTCCTAGGGCCTTTATACTAGGCTGGAGAGGGCTGGAGAGGCTAAGGACTAGGGCCTCTCTCTCTCTCTCTCTCTCTCTCTCTCTCTCTCTCTCTCTCTCTCTCTCTCTCCTCTCTCTCTCTCTCTCTCTCCTCTCTCTCCTCTCTCTCTCTCTCTCTCTCTCTCTCTCTCTCTCTCTCTCTCTCTCTCTCTCTCTCTCTCTCTCTCTCTCTCTCTCTCTCTCTTGCGATGCACCTCCTCTTGATTTTTTAGAGGCACTTTGCCAAAATCTGTGGGTCTTTGAGAAGGAGCTCTTTATTAATAAAAAAACACACATAGCAATGCTTTCCTAGCATGCATCACGCCACCGAGTGGCCAACTATATGGGACCGAGGTGGTTGTTGTTCCCCTTCCCTATCCTAGGCCCAAAGCCTATTCCTACCCTTCACTAGGGCTGGCCTCTTGCCATCGCAAACCCCTAGGGTTGCCCACGGTTTTCGCACTCAAGAGTGCACCGTGCCTAGCGCGCAAGCGCCTAGTCCCATGGCCCGCTCCTACACCACCGGAGCGGGTCCTTGGCTGCCATGCCCGTTCATAGGGCAGGAACTTGCCACGTGGCCTGGCTGGCCGCAGCGGAAGCATGAGCCCCGAAACCCACGGCAATTGGCCGTGGGCGGGGGGCCCCGCATGGGTAAGAACGGCATCGGCGCGCTGTTTCCGCCGCGGTTGACACGAGCGTATCTGCTTGCCGCCCGGTCCATCGCCGCCATGTTCGCGACCGCCTGCTTGAAGGGTCGAGAAGTCAGCAGGCTCTTCTGCTGGTACAACTTGAAGCGCTTCGCCGTGCGGAAGTCGGAGGCGTCCTCCACTTGAAGCACCTCGAAACGCCCCGAGATGAGGTCGAGAGCGTGCGTGATGAGTTCGAGTCCGCCCGCCGGGTCCCCGCGCTGCGCCTTGTATTCCGCGTGCAGCAGTTACGCGCGCAAGTCCTTCAGTAGCTCCGCTTGCTCTCGCACGGAGTCGTTGACGAATGTCGCCCCCGAAAATGTGAGGTTAGAAGAAGGGAGGGGGGGAAGGTGTTCCGTGCCATTAAAATTAACATTGTTGACTAGAGCCTCATCGGCTTCATCTTCAGAGTCGTCGGTGTCGTTGTCGGCCGCTGGAGCAGGGGGCGTTGCTGTCGCTGCGTCGTTGTCATGCCGATTCGCCCTTGCTCATCGCGTGCCTTAATTCATTTTTTCGCATTTTCTTTTTTAGCCGACGCAGATGCAGCGGGTAGTGCAGTTTCCGCGGCTGTAACGCTGACGGGCTGCTGCTGTAGAAGGGATAGCAGCACGTTGACCTGGTCCGGGGTCAACGCCTGTGTCAACGCAGGGGCGGTCATCGCGTCAGACGAGGAGACCGTCGTCCGCCTCCTCTGGCGCTGACGCGATGATCCAGCCGCGGGTGCTGGCGTGTGCTCGGCGTCAGGGGCGTGTGCCGCGCCAGCAGCCGTCGCCACTTGCGCCGCAGGTGCCACTGGCGCCACAAGTGCCGAAGGGTGCAGCTGGGCGTCGGCCGCTTTCTTGACCTCGAGCCCGCCCAGCAGCACGTCCAATGCAGTTGGGGCGTGCGGTCCATCTTCTGCCCGTCGCTTTTTACGGCGTTCGCCCGCCAAATCGCGGGTGTTACGGTCGAAGTCGGGAGCGGGGTTGGACGAGTTCCTGTTGTTAAGTGTCGGCGTCGGTGCCATCGTTGAGCGATTGAAGTTAAAAATGTCGCCGAGTAAAGTCGAGGGTGACTCGCCTCTAGAAAATTTTGTCCTAGCCAGCTTGGACGGAGGGATAAACTACGTGAGCGGAAATGTTGAGTGAGCCGTTTGAAAATAAAGAAATGTGGGTGGAGGGAAATGAGCTCCAACCCATTGTTTTGTAGTTTGAGAAAGGCGTTTAGCACGCTTCGACGATGCCAATTATGCAATACAATCAGCTTCGCTTTCACAATACACAAATTTAAAAAACACTATGTGTGCTCTAAAATTGTAATAAGTCACCACAATCTCACTTGATCATGCACAAGTACTCAGCTGAGATCGCCACTCTGTAAGAGCGCGAGGTGGGGATGTCAAGTGCATCCGGGTCTCCCTTAGGGGCAAGCAGCATAGTCGCGAGATGAGGTGCAGCGGCCGCAAGACACTCCAGCTCCTCCTGCCTGTCCTCAAGAACGTCACAGCCAAGGGCAACCTCACCCCCGACGGACGGAAGACAGGCAGGGTTAGGGTCAGAAACGAGACTCGCAAGGTAGTCTAGGCGGTACGCAACAGCAAAGTCAACAGGCTCAGCGGCTAAGGCAGACGCAGCAGGAGACGAGAGCATAGGGTCCGTCACAACCATAGCAAGAAAGTGAGTAACAGTCGGACTGGACGCACGAGCAAGGTCAGACGGAGGGTCAGCAACAGCAGGAAGAGAAGACGCAGGAGGTGACGGCATGACAACGCGCTGTGGAACAGAGGAAGGACGGAGTGTCATATCGTGAGTGCTTGGGACAGCCGGAGCATGAGAACGACAAACACGAGGAACACGAGCACGAACAGAATCTCTAGTCTCAGGCTCTCGACTCTCAGGAGTGGAAGCACGAGTGTCAGGCTATCGACGCTCAGGAGTGGAAGCACGAGTCTCACGCTCTCGAAGCTCAGTCAGGGACTCTGTGACAGCAGTGTAAGGAGCATGAGAAGGCAGTGGGGAGTGAGGCAGGAGCTGTAGGAACAGTAACGGAGGAGTAGTACCAGCGACTGGGAACTCAGTAGGAGCTGGCGGAAGACCGAGAAGGTGGCGAAGAGCACCAGCAGGTCCAGTACCTCTAGTACCAGCAGGACCTCCAGTACCTCCAGCAGTGGTAGCTCCAGCACCTCCAGCACCAGCAGCACCTCCAGTACCTCCAGCACCTCCAGCACCAGCAGCTCCAGCACCTCCAGCACCAGCAGCACCTCCAGCACCTCCAGCACCAGCAGCTCCACACCTCCAGCACCAGCAGCTCCAGTACCTCCAGCACCAGCAGCTCCAGTATCTCCAGCACCAGTAGTACCTCCAGCACCTCCAGCACCTCTAGGACCAATAGGACTAGTAGCTCCAGTACCTCCAGCACCAGTAGCACCTCTAGTACCTCCAGCACCAGCAGTACCTCCAGCACCTCCAGCACCTCCAGCACCTCCAGCCCCAGCAGCTCCAGCACCTACAGCACCAGCAGCTCAAGTACTTCCAGCACGAGCAGCACCTCTAGTACCTCCAGCACCAGCAGCACCTCCAGCACCTCCAGCAGCACCTCCAGCACCTCCTGCAGTAGCAGGACCTCCAAGACCAGCAGCTCCAGCACCTCCAGCTGTCAAACATATGTTTATATGTTATAGTTTAGGTAGGCATTAGTGGGGTACTCACTGTGGGGTACAACCCTTTAGGTTTTCCTTTTGTACCAAACTCTCGATAGTCCAACACCACCTTGCCTAAGATTCTAACATGGCATCTAGAGCATAGGTCCTTAGGACCTAGGATTAGGGCCCACCGTTCACTATTTCACCTCACTAAAACGTACCTGCCTTGCCTAGTGCCCGCGCGCGCCTCGGCTGCACGCGCGTGGCCCTCTTTTTTTTTTTTTTTTTTTTTTTTTTTCCCGCGCGCGCCTCTTTAGCAGCCCGCGCGACTCGTCTAGGCCCCGCCCGCGCAACCCGTTTCGGCCCCGCCCGTGTGCCCCTTACGCCGCCCGCGCGCAGCCTGCTTAGGCCACGCCAGCGCAGCCCGTCGCCGCACGCAGCACGCAGCCGCGCGCGCTGCCAGTCGCCACGCGCAGCCAGCAGCCGCGCGCAGCCCTCAGCCGCACGCAGCCAGCAGCCGCGCGTGCCCTGCTCGTGTGCCTGCCTGTGCGGCTCGCTGCTGCCGAGCCCGCTGCCTTAGAATTGCACGGCCTGCTACTGTCTAGAGCGCCACCTTAGGAGCTCGAGTGCGGCAAGCTACTGCCCGGCACGTTGCCAGTGTTGCCTGCTGCCTACTGCCTCTATCTTAGCCTGCGGTCTACTGCCTGATGCCTCCTGTCTACTACCTGATGTCTCTGTCTTTGCCTGCGGCCTACTGTCTACTGCCCCTTGTCTGCTGCCTGCTTCTGCTGCCTTTGCCTGCTGCCGTTATGACGACGCCGAATGTTCTCGCGTTCGAGCCTGACGGTCGCCCCATAGAGTTCGCTGTGTGGCTCAACGACCTGCAACTGTTCCTTCTGACTGATGCCAAAGAGGGTGTCTCACTGTTCGATTACGTGTCTGGCACTGCCGTTGCCCCTGCTGCCGATGCTCCTGCTCTTGAACGCTCACAGTGGCAGACTCGCGATGCTGCAGCACGCCTAGCTATTAGGAACCATCTGCCGATTCCTGGGCGTGCTCATTTCAGCAAGCACAAAACTGCTAAGAAGCTGTACGACGCTGTAGTTGCGCGCTACTCATCCCCGACCACTGCAGCCATAGGTCGGCTCATGCTACCCTACTTGTTCCCCGACCTTTCCTCGTTCACCACTGCTGAGGACCTCATTTCTCACCTGCGCGCTACTGACACTCGCTTTCGTGCCGCCCTTTCAGCCGAGTTCTGCGCCGCAAACCCCCCGCCCCCCCCGATGTACTTCACTCTCTATTTCCTCGTCACCCGCCTCCCTGACACTCTTAGCTCTGTCAGGGACCACTTCCTAGCGCTAGACCCCACCACTCTCACTGTCGACGACTTCGAGAAGCACCTCCTTGCAGCAGAGAAGAACATCCTCGCTGTAGGTGCTGCTCGTGGC